ACCGTATTTTCCCTAATGTGACTGAGTCAGTCGTTTCATCCACAAAAATCTTTGCTAAAACGACTGAATCAGTCATTTGAACCGTCTTATTTAGCCATTCAGTCACTTCACTTTTCTGACAGTGTAGATCAGCCACGTCTTCCCATTATTCTGTTCCGTATGCCTTCAACGCTTCTTAAAAAGAAAACAAAGAGCACTAAAATGCTTGAAGAATGAAATTTATTGCTTAGCCGTCAGAATATTAGTTATTACTCTTTCTGTGCGATGATATATATTCGACAGATGGCAGTAGTCGATATCATCACAACTGTGCATCAGTTATAGGTTGCAATCCTGATTTACCAATACGCTGATTTTCACCGAAATGATAGTCTTGCCTTCATGTATACTCTGCGTTTTGTAGCTGAATAAATGAAAAGCTAATTCCTACATATTTAAAACAGTTACCAGAAATAAAAATTGTAAACATACCATTCGATGTCAATTTAATATATTAATAGCTGTGCAAATATAGTAACTGAATAAAGAAATTGAATGAATATTTAGCGGTAGCAGCATATCAGCTTATCGTAGCATTCCACTGGAACATTAAGGATGAAATTTTATTATATTATATTGGAGACAAATAATTAGAGCAGTTCAATAATATGAGTGCATGAAGGGAAGAAAATATTTTATAGCTAATTTCTTTTGAAAAATATGTATGAAATTGGATTATTTCATGTTTTTATATTTAAACTTTATTACACGTTATTAACCGGCGAATAGTAAAGAAGGGCCTGCGACTGAAAGTTATAGCTAACAGACGATATTTTCAACAATGAGAAATCGTTTTTTTCTCCGCTGACTTATATTTTTCAAAAAAGTTCTTTGGAGGTTTTTCGTCGCTTTGAACTCGAATTTTTCATATTGGAATACATTGATATGACACACTTTTATCTCATGCATCGTATCATTTATCAGTTCGGTTTAGCTCGACAGTCGACACCTCTAGTTGATAGTCACAAAACGATAATTGATACGTTCGTTGATATTTCTTTTAATTAATAAAAAACACAGTTTTCCATAAGAAAAAACATACACGACACAAAAAGGCGCAATATTACATTTTAAATAAATTAAAAAAGCAATGAAATCAACTGTTCGATGAGTATTCGATTTCTTACATAACCATTTTGTATGTAAAATATATACACTTTATGTTTTAACAAAATGATCGAACTTTTCAAATTCTGTTAGCCAAAAACTTTTCAATGTATCCGGTAACCATCGAAAATATTGAGTTTCTTCCATTTGAAGATAGCCGACAATTTGAACACATCGTAATTCACCATTTTGATGAAATCCATCTACAATATTAAAAATAGCATTTTAGACTAGAATGGCCAAAAATGAGTACGATTAGCATAAAAACGTACGTACGATAGATCTGTTCAGTAACTTTTGCTGATTGTTTCTGACCACTGACAAATAAACATAAATGACAACCAAATTGCTCATACTGGTTATTCCAACATTTCAATTGACTTTCGGCTTGTTCATACATTTTTGATAGAAAACTATAGAAATGATGTAAACTTGGTTTTGTTGTTTTTGATTTTAGAAAGACACCGATACGTGGAGTGGGACAACACCAAATAAGACCATAATCAGTTGTTTCTAACATTTTTAATCGAACATTGGTTACAAAATCATCAGTCAATTCACCATTTTTTCCATCTTCAATACATTGCTTTTTATATTTAGCAAAATCAGATTTACGTTCTTCATACTGTTTCACCATAGCATGTTCATATGCATTTGAAAAATTCCAACCTCTCTGTAACACCTAAAATAGAATATAGATGACTATAAATATTTCTCCAAACATGTAACAACCTTGAACAAGTGACTTATGTCTTAGATCACCTTCACTAGCAGCATACTTACTACGTTGTGACGTACAGTACAACTCCTCTGGTTAGTTAGTTCGCGTAGCTTTCCGGAAAACCAGTACGTGATTAGTAAGAGTGTATATGAAGCTCGGGAAACTGGTCGAAAGAGCTCTGGGTCTAGCCTTCTATCCTGAGCTGTGGTTGACGACTAGTAACGAAATGGATGACCATATCAGAAGTTTGTCAGCTGCCGATATCAAGCAGATATCAAGCTATTGAAGCTGTGAGTCGGCAACACTCTATACGGGAAACGGTAGCCGCAAGACAAGGTATTCTTCCTTCTCTTTCTAGTCTTTTTAACAAACTCCACACAAATACGAACCTTTATTCGTGCTTCATCCCGGTATGGTTCATATGGTACACATAAATGAGCATGAAATCCTTGTTGATTTTGTTGATACCAAATTCCACGATGAAAACTTAAAATTGTAAAGTGATCATAAGCAGGATTGTGAGCTAAAAACCGTGTAACTAATCTAAATGCT